ACAGGGAAAGATTTACCAGTCCTGGTGTTTCCTGACCCAAAGCCATGGAGTTTCCCAAGGAGGCCACATTGCCCTAATGGGTAGGGAACCAGCACTAAAATTCAAGCAAGATATTAATTATGTGCTCTGGGAGACGGGCTTCTTTTTTTAGGGGGGGGTTCATGAGCCTAATAATAAGCAGCCTATGAGAACAGAGAGTAGCTCTGAAAGCTTCTGGGTCTCTGCCATTGATCTCAGGCGACTGCACCTAGGACCAAACCAAACCCCCACGCCCAGGTGCCCCCAAATTAAATATCATTGCAGGCATCATTTGGTAAGTGTGGAAGCAAGCCTGGGGGCTAGCAAAAAAAAACAAAAAAAAACAACCCACAACCAAAAACCAAAACTTCTGATTTGGTCTTCCTTCCCAAGATAATACCTGGGGCAGTCAGCTTGTGTCCCCAAGCCCATGGCCAGGTCTCATGGCAGGCAAGGAGCCCACATGGCATGCCAGTAGGGCTGACAAGAACTGTGACAGCCAGTTTTTCCCATTTTTCAAAAGAGATGACAGGGGAGCTGGCATTTCCCTGGCTGCCCGCCGTGTTTTTGCCCACAGGGGTGAACCCGGCTTCTATGAAGGTTGCATTGGGAAAGACGGAGATGTGACAAGCCACCTTGCCTTACAGATGTGATAAATCTCTTGCATTACAGTCTCCTCAGACTACCAAGTAGGGTTCCCCAAATTAGAAAAGGAGGTATAATGGAGGGGGAAGGAAAAAAAAAAAAAAAAAGGAGCCAGATTCACATAAGCAAAGGATAGCATAAAAAAAATTCAATGAGAAAGTGAAGCTACACTTGTGGGAAGCAAGTGATACCAGCTCTCCCTTCTCTGCCTTTCAGCTACAAATCCACGCAGAAAGGTGTCACATTATCCAAGCTGACCAAAGAAGATGAAAACTGGGTCAGAAACAAACAGGGCTCCCTCAGAAAAACCTCACCTGTCCAAATATATGAGCCCAAAGAGGAAAGGCATCAATGTGGAGCCTGGGGTATCCCAGCAGCAGGCTACGGGGGGGCTTCTTGCCCATCTTCTCCCCAAACCCAGTGAGTGGGGCTAACTTTTCCATTTCAGCAAGAATCAGGGTGATTTTTCCGGTGATTTGATTCGGTTTAATGCCTTCTTACATTCCTAGAAATTTACATGAATGTACCTGTAGGGGCTGCGGGAGTTAGAGGACTGGGAGGTCGTGGCTACCTGGCGTACACGGGCCTGGGGCGTGGATACCAGCTCAAAGGAGAAAAGAGGGGAGAGGATAAACTCTACGACCTCTTGCCAGGAATGGAGCTCACACCGATGAACCACGTCGCGCTAAAGCCCCACGGGATCAAACTCGCTCCTCAGGTATGTGCGTGAAATAAGAGAGTCGGTATCCCAGCCAGAGGTTGTCCTTGCCCAAAATTATTTTGGGAAGACACCCCCTCCTCCCAGCCTGCTTGAATCTGCTCTGGGGACTGATAACTAAATCCATTCTTGCATCTCAAAAGACATTAAGAAAAATAAAATATCACTAGTTGCGTCTTGCAGCACCCACCCGCCTCACTGGAGAATGGCGTCTGCTCTCCCTTGGAGGAGAGTTTTCCTAAACTGAATAAAGGTGTTGCTCCATAAAAGCACTGAGGAGCACTAAGGGTAAAGAAATTCTTACCCAAAAACGGGTTTGATAAACAGAATGCATCGCCTGGGGCTTCACCACGGAATCCTAGACTGGCCTAGGCTGGAAGGGACCTCAGAGATCATTTAATCCAACCTCCCTCTCATGGGCAGGGACGCCTCTCAACTAGATCAGGCAACACATGGGGATCGAATGGGAATGAATGCACATATGTGTACATTTTAAAATAATTTATGGGAAAAGGTGTTAACTGCCTGCATAACCCAGCTCTTAGGACAACATTATCCAATGCACCATGAGGAACCAATTCCACCCTGAATTCTGAGGGGCATCTTTTCCTATTAACACTTCAATAACAACAGCGTCCAGTTTGGCAAAGCCTATGAAAACATCCTTCCCCCTCAAAGAAAAATGGAAAACGGGGTTCTTTTCCCCTGATGGCAAAATATCACAGTCCCCTTACTCTATTCTAACACCCGTTTTTGAGGACACATTTTTCCAGCAGCTGAGCTCCCCACGGCTACTGTTTCACACCAGCAGGTCTTAAACAGCTACCGCTTTCTTCATGATAGCCTCGTTAGTAGGACAGCCTCATTAAAACCAGTGAGCCTCTTCTATCCAATGCACCAACACCATGTCAATAGCGTCTTGGAATGATGGATTTCATTTCTGCTGCCTAGCTGGGATGCTCACTGTTAATAAGTAGATCTGCCTTATTGATGATTTGAACGCTGACGTGCCGTTATAAAACCAACACCTGTATAAAGGCGTTGGGACAGCAGGGAACAAGCATTGCTAATAGTCAAGAAGTGTAATTAATTCAGTTATTTATGCGATAAGGTGCTAAACTTTGGCGGGAGCTCCGACTGCAGAATAAAAGGCAGTGGTAACATTTAAATTCTACATTTCAACTGTAAATAAAATAAAGGGTAACTTTTAAATAAAGAAGGCTACAGAAAGGTGCAGGCTGGAGGCACTTGGAGGTCTTGGCAACACAGCCAATGTCGCAAAGCCCCAAGATCCAACAGGTTCTTAGATGAGTGTCGGGTCTGGTGGAGCTACTTGGAAAAAATAAAAATAATTAAAAAAATGGACAGAGCACTGCTCACAGGGAGGCACGAGAACATCATGCTGTGTTCAAACCCATTCAAGACAGGACATACCCATTTAAACTATGGGTTTAAAAAAAAAAAAAAAAAAGTAATACAAAGCCAAAGCAGAGCGTTTCCGGACAGCGCTTCCCAATTACCGTGGAATAAGCTGTGCTAAGGCTGGGGGCAACGTGGTTCAGCATTTCTCTTTCAAACCAGAAGGAGAAATTGCCTATTGAAGCCTGTGTAATTAATTGGATGGAACACAGCCTTTTTTTCTTTTTTCTTTCTTGTGGTGTTTTTTTTTTTTTATATGACAAGTATTTGGACTTTTCGTGGACTGTAACCAACTAAGCCAGGGAGGAAACAGAACAGGGAAGATGAATGCCACCTGGGTGTTATAGCATTCTTAAATAGAAGTGAATAGATAGAATTTCCGGGGAGAAATCAAAGAAAACCACACCAACAACAGAAGAAAACAACTAATCAGCAAAAGGACAAAGATGTCCAATTTAACATGGTAATAATTAACTTCAGGGATTAAACAGGCTTTTAAAGTATAAAATAGGTGAATCTTATACTTCAAGGTGAATATAGGGTCTTGTCTGCCATGTATTTCTGTATTTTTTTTGGAAAGCTGTGAGGAATCTGCCCCAACATCCTTGAAAACCCTCTGGAGGGAAGGAAGCAGACCAGGGCAGGGGGTAGAGCTGAGCGAGAAGGCCCCGAGGCTGCAATTAACCCAAGCAAAAATTCCCTTTTCTCCTTTCTAGATCTTAGAAGAAATCTGCCAGAAAAACAACTGGGGCCAGCCCGTCTACCAGCTGCACTCTGCAATTGGCCAAGACCAAAGACAGCTCTTCCTATACAAAATCACCATCCCTGCCCTCGCTAGCCAGAACCCGACCCTGTACGTAACTCTCTGAGGTTTTCTGGGGTTTAGGATTGATTTTTCTTTTTTTTTTGGTGGCATTTTATCTAGTGTCTCTCCTCAAAACACGAGTCTTTTATTTCCTTTTTGTACATATATGTTAGGGAATATACAACAGACCCATAGTGATGTCTGATAGACTGAAAGTCTGCCGTGCCCGGTGGTGCAAAGATTATAGAAAGCCAGAAATATTCAGGCAAAAGGGTGCTTTTTAGCACAAAAATAAAGCAGACGATAGCTCCCGTGGGAGAAAGCAAGCGGCTTGCAGGAATACGCGGATAATTCAGCTCCAAATGCGATTCTAAACAATTCTGACCTAAAACATCATTTGTGGTGTATTTTAAAGAAAACCCTGGGCAGCAGCAGGCTTTCTTTTGGACTGAACGTGCACAACATACTCTGAAGGGATGCTGTGTCCAAAACGAGACCCAGGGCCGATAAACTCAGCAAGGAAACCAGGCTGCTACTACAAGGAGGGCACTTTGCATCACCACAGTAAAATAAGCTTCCGATATGTGGATGATGCCACCCATGAGTGGATCAAAACGTTTTGGAGGCAAGTCCCAGAGGGACAAAAAACAAACAAAACGAAACAAACCCAAACCTAACCCCCAAGCTAACGTTGCGCTCTACTCACAGACATCCCTTCACACCACCCAAGCTCAGCGCTTACATCGACGAAGCCAAAACCTACGCGGCAGAATACGCCCTGCAGACGCTGGGCATTCCCACGGAGGGAGCGGAGGTGCCTCCCGCAGCTCCGGCTTTTCCAGGTATGGGAAGGTCTGTAATAGTGAAGGTCTCCTGGAATAGGATTGCTCCTGCTTCCTTGCAGATGTCGAGGATCAACCCAGTTTTGGCCACTGAGGGCAGACCTGGCTGTGCTCCCCCTCTCCAATGCCTCTGCTTTTGACTCATTACTTGTGCGTGTGACATCTTGCTGGCCTATACAGGGATTTATCTCTGTAGCAACAAATTATGGCATATGCACCACTCCAGGCTGGGGTGGAAAGTCTCGGGTCTGACCTTGTACCTCTCCGGTCTGACCTTGCACCCAGCAGGTCCAACGCCACAGTTAGAGGAGGTTGCTTAGGGCTGTGTCACAGGCTGGGGACCCTCCCCACCCCAGGTACACACCTCTCCTCGTTTCCAGTTTGTGGATGGCTCCTTTCAACTGGAAGCTCCAGATAGGATGCAGGATCTAGAACTGGCCTCCCCAGTGCCACATCTGGGATGAGTCCTCTCTCTGGACCTTCTGGCTGATGCCACGCCGGATGGAGTAGATCTTCCTCCTTGCAAAGATGCGCAGTGGATCAGTTCATGGTCCACCCGTCCTCCCCCAGCACCTTTTGAACTGCCAAAGACATGACGCAACCGCGAAACTTCGGATCTGATCCTAGCTCGCAGGCTTTACATTGCCCGTGCTCTCCGGCACGATGGTTATTCTGATGTAGTGGGAGTAACGTGTGCCAAACCGCCCATGAGGAATGCATTAGTCAGTACTACTGAGCTGTTTGGAGTGTCTCAAGGACGGATTTTTTTTTTTAAAAAAAAATAAAAATCTATCCGGCTTCCTGCCACAGCAGCCCGCAAAAGCCACAGAAAAATCATTTTGTCTGGGTTTGTGCAGGCTTCCGCAGCGTGGAAACCACATGGGCTCTTTATTGAATCCAGCCTCCGCTCATGGCTTAATTATAATCTCTCCTTTTTTCTTTCCTCCACCTTGATTTGTTTGTCTTGGGAACTCAACAATTTGACATACATTAAAGTTTCTGCTTTCAGCGCACACTGGTCCTGGATCAGGACTTGCTGAAGCTCAGCTCAGCCCAGGCCATGCCCAGAGAGCAGCTCATTTCTCTCACCGTGGTGGCAGACGGGCTTTAAATGCCCCGTTTCTCAATTCCTATTTGAAATAATCATAGAATCATAGAATGGCATAGACTGGAGGGGACTTTAGAGATCATCTAGTCCAACCTCCCTGTCATGGGCAGGGACGCCACCTCTCGACTAGACCAGGCAACACATGGGGACCGAGCGGGAATCGAACCCGCGACCTCGGTGTTGGTCCTTGTTGCCAGCACCGCGCTCAAACCACTGAGCTAACCGGCCAATGCAAAGAAGATACTCATATTACAGCAAAAATTACAATACTCATAATACTTATAATACTCATACATAATACTCATTATAATACTCCTATTCCTTATAATACTCATATCATAGCAAATTTCCCATGTTTTCCCCTAAGGTAAAACCTTCAACAAGGCAACCTGCTCTCAGTGTTGCCCCTATCTCCCTTCCCCCCACCACAGGGACCTCAGCTCTGACTGACCTTGAGTTGGACCCATTGCCCAGGTGGTCAGTCGGAGATTTTGGCCCCTAGGAGATGTAGTTTGGCGGCAGAGCCTAGTCCAGCAGAGGCAACGGGTACCCCAGCTGCTCTCCCCAAATCAGGGCTTTGTCTTAATTCTTGATTCTTTCATAACAAAACATTGTGGTCTGGTTGACAAGCTGCTGTGTGCTGCTTCCAGACAAGACGAGCCCCAAACAACGTTTGTTTTCCCAGTGATTCATTTTGCAGCGGCAACGCTAACATTTTCCCATGGAAAATTCTGAAACCACAAGTTCCATTAGAAGCTGATGGGAAAAAAAAAACCCAACAGTTTGCGGATTTTTTTTCTCCTGATATTGCACAGAGGGAGTTTCACTTCTCTCTAACATGGCTATCCTAAATCTCATCCATTTTCACTGTGAAGGGTATCAGAGTCATATTTTTACCATGAAAACTGCCCAGATTTCCCCTTTTCTTGCCCTCCTTGTGTCGAGCACAGAAGGAGGTACACGGAGCACTGTTAATACCCTTTTAGCTCAGAAATAATCAAAGCCTAAAGAAAAATTATTCAGCCGAGAGGGGCATTCCTCAAGTGGCACGTTTAACAACTCATAGGTGAGAAAAACGCATTACTTTTCCAGCTTTCCTTGTTGTTGTCGCCTTTAATGTGGAGAAAAAAAAAATGCCCAAAACCCACCTATTTAATCTGATTAGACTATTTCTATTAGCAAACTCATTGCTGCCTACGCATCACCCCCATCAACAGCAAAGCCTTCCCATCAAAAAGTATCTGACTTTTGAACGTCTTTTCATTCATCAGCATTTTTTTTTTTCCTCCCTACTTTTCCCTGCAGGATACACCATTGCTAACGCAGCTGCGACTGTCACAGCCACTCAGCTCAAACAAGCGGTAACTATGGGACAAGATTTAGCGACCTACGCAGCCTATGAAGCTTACCCCGCCTTCGCTGTCGCTGCCCGCAGCGATGGCTACGGAGCATATTGATCCTGTCTTTAATTGAATCCCCTTAAATTGAGCACAGGCAGGGAAAAGAAAAAAAAATAAGGAAAAAAAGAATCTCAGTCTGACAATTCTTACAGCCTCATGATTTTAAAACTAACCTGTCACCCGAAGTTAGGTTTTAGTCGGAGTTTCGTTCTTGTAGTTCTGTAGTTTCGTAACAGGGTGTTAGGGAAGGGAAAGGAGAAATTAAAAAATTAATAATAATCACTCGAAATTAGATTTTCATGCTAGAAGGCAAAATCTTAGCCCAGAAAATGAGTAATTCTCAGGTGTGCGTCTATACATACGTACATATATCTATATATGTGTATATATATGCACACACCTCGTTGTGTGGGTTTACAAGAAACAACCTGTGCTGAAAACAGCTGGTCCCATGGACGTTGGGATGCGGTACCAGGGAAGGATGGGGTGTCTCCAGCTTAGCCTCCTTGTGTATCAGGAGCTCCCAAAATTTGCCTCCAAAATTTCCCAAGCTGGGTAGAGCAGCGGGTAAGATGCAAGGTTGCCCTCTTACTGCCTCTGAGCATCCCGTGCTCCTGGTGCTGGGGGCTGCATGCAGGCATCTCAAGGGTCTTCTAAATGCATTCTAGCACAGCCAAAAAAAAGACATTGAGCATCATATCACGAGCCCAACAGGCTCATTTGCATGCTCTTGAATGTTAATTTGATTTTTTTTTTAAAAGGAGGAGGCAAGAATTCAGTAGAGGTTTCTTTTCCCCTCTTATTTTGCTGCTTCCCAGCCATACCTACCAGTCATAAAACAGCACACAGCAACACACTTTTTTCCACCTCCTGTCGAATGGCACCTTCAGTGAAAGGCAGGAAAACTTTTAGGAGTATTAAGGTTGAGGACCAGAAAAGTGCTATCCATCGGGGCCAATTCTCTACTTAATTAGAGCAGAAGAGCTCACAGCCGTGGCCCAGTAATAACAGGCACGTCTACAGAAATAAAATCAGATACACGGAAGCTTTTTTTAGCAGGATGGAAAGAGGCCTGTCTTGCTGTCGGCGCTGCTTGGCACATTAAATCAAGGCTGCCGCCATTCTGGCAAAAATCAGTTTAGTAGAGGAGGGTCCTCTCATTTTGGAGAGCACCAGTGTTGTGTTTGAAGGATTTGGGGCTGCTGAGAGCGTCCTCTGCTTTACAGCAGGAGGGCATTATCTGTTTATTATTGCCATCGGATTGAGGCAGGAATAACGACGAAAAAGGAGAAAGCCGGTGTTCGATGATTACAGCAGACATTAATCCTATATAAAGCAACCCATGAAGTAATGCACACGAAGAAAACCTGAATCTGCTCAGTCTAGGACAGGTTAAAAAAAAAAAAAAAAAAAGGCCTTCTAGGGGAGAACTTACAACCAAGTTGATGATGCCTGTTGATTCCAGCCCAAAATTTTTTATCTGGTCGAAACAATGTCATCATGGCACCACACAAGCCGTTTCAAGCAGAGCTTTTCCTGCGTGTCCCCAAAGCTGTGCGAAGTATGATGGGTCAGCAGACTGCCAGGAGCTCAGTGTTCTCTGCTTCAGCCAACTTGATTTCCCTAGGAACGGAACAAAACCCACCTAAGCTGTACAGTTTGTCGCCCTCTTCGACCCTTTCTATTTATAAAGTAGGTGATCCTAAAGGTATTACAAGCCCTCAGAAAACAACAAGCCTGTTCACAGAGGGCGAGATCACAGAGTGTTATGGGTGTTGTGGCTTTATTTTCTCTTCTACGTCTTCTAATTCGTGTTTGGCTGCCAACGAGTAACATATCCAAGCGTCTCTCTCCCTCTCTCAAAGGCTACCGTTGGCAGAAAGCGTTTCTCACTTTCCACGCTCAGTAACTTTAGTCTGCTTTTTCAGCTATTTATATAAGTTCAGAGAGATGTCAAAGAAAAGGGCAAGAAGCAGTATTAAAAAGCGTGTGCATGAAGCACTTAGTTTTGTTTTTTTTTGTACACATAGTACAATGTTTGTATAGAGTTTTAACGCTATGAAGTGTAGCAAAAAAAATAATAATAATCACACTGTCCATTTACTGGAGGACAATTGTGTACGTTTAAACAGAATGAAGTGAAAAATGGCATCTCAATCACCCATTAAAAGGAAATTATAACCAGGATTAAATTCGGTGCAGCAAGTCTGTAATCCTAGAGTAATCCAAGGACGTTAACTAGAGTTTAAAATACCATTAAAACTTTTTAAACCAACATACACGCCTCAGTCCTTTTATACCCCAGGTTTCATCTGAAAGGGCCATCCCATGTGTGGTAAATCAAAACGCACTTTGCTCCGCAGGGACCGATTTGGGGTCAGACAGGCAAGGTGACAAGCCGCTGGGTTTGCAACCTGCACTTTGCCGACACTTGGCACGCACAGGCGGCAGAAAATCAGCACTGCTATTCTTCTGCGCTTTTAAGTACAAAAATGGGGGTTAGGGTTTGTGGTTGGTTTTTTTTTCCCCACCACCTCTTCAGACAATATTTATCTGTCAGTGCTGCAGGAATCACCTTCACTATAAATGTATTACAGTGGCAATGCCTCTGTTTCTTACCTGATCCCGATGGAGATGTCTTGGGGGCAATACTGACAGCAAGCCAGCAATGCACAAAAAACTGTAAGGGTTTAGATGGTTTGATACATGATTTAGGGCTGTGAGGGATTGGTCCTGCCTTGGCAACCTGACTACAGGCTCTTCCCAAAAGATAAATCAGCTACAGCTCTCATTTTAAGAAGATGAGGACCTGCTCCGTGGAAGACGATGACAGTTTAATGAACAAGCAATAGCAATTCCTGCTCACTTGCCCAGTACAAGGGGTTCTGGGTTTGTACCTTTCCAAAGAGATCCTGACCCCAAGAAACAGGGGCAAGATCTGGTACCTTGCTACTCATAGCACACAGCACCCCGCCAAAGGCTTGCCGACCAAGCTAAAAGAGATTTCACTAAAATAGCTTGACATTGCTCTTACAGACGTACAACGAGGTCATCTGTATTCTGGGCTTTAGCAAGAACAGCAGCTCTGCTAGCTCTATTATTTTACCTCATTAGTTTTTCCTGATGTCCTGCTTTCATTTTTCTTTGAAATCAGGGCAATGGCAGAATTCGCTTTTGGGCTTTAACATCTGCTCTCTCTCGGAGACCTGAGATCCCCTCTTCACTCAGCAACAGCTGGCTGATCAATTTTGGAGAGCAAAAAATGATTTTTTTCTTGAGCAGACATCTCAAACCCACAACCCAACATAAAAACCCCCACGTTATTTCCCATTTGTAAAGATGTGGGTTTCCAGTGGATACCAAGACAAAGTGAAAAACCATATCCATCCTTCCCCAACAAGTCTAAGATAGATTTGAGCTGTAAGTGATGAGAAGATCAATGGCCCAGAAAAATCAGCCCGTGGCCACATGTTTGGCTGCTTGCAGGGCAGGAGGTAAAAAACTGGCTTTTTCCTCCTCCCTTCTTCCATCCAGCCCTTTCCTAGAGGTCTCTACACCACATCTGAGGAGCTAAGCAAGAATAAAACATGTCTGAGGATTACACAACAGCTCTGCCTTTGGAGGTAGACAGAACCTGAAACATCCCATTGAGAAACTGTCTCCCATGTCCCACCGAAACCTCCTCTAGAAGTCCACGGGATAAGGTCTGCAAGTGACTTCCAAGGGGAGCTGCTTGATCTTTGAGCCTGCACAGCTCTCTTTTCCCACTAGTCCAGCTAGATCTCCCAAGGACCATTTCCCCATTGCACACCTACCTGGTTTTTCTTTTTCCGGGAAAAACAAAAACACCAAAACCAAAAAATCCCACCACTTTGAAGGGTGACATTCCAGTTAGGGGCTACAAATCACTGCTTTTCACTAGCTGTCCGGGGCTCATGGCATTATTAGGGGGTGCACCTTTCTTTTAAGGACTGGAAATCACTGCATCCCCCCCAAAAAACCTTGGTCTCAGCTAAAATGGCAGTTCTCAGCTGCCTTTTGCTAAGTGCTGGTGGGGGGCTTCGACATCGCCTCCCCACCAATGTCTCTCTTTTTCTAGGGAAGGGGGGTTTGGGAAGGGTTGCTCTCTCCCTGGAGATGTCCTGCCACCTGGAGACAGGGCATGTGCATGTCCAGATTTGGGGCCGGTGAAAAGTCACACTGAGCGTGTGGTGCTCCTTCACCCCTGGAACCACCTAGTGCATGTGCAGCCACAGTTGGGGGGGAGATGTTAAAAACTACCCACTGTTGGACCTGTAGTTAGGTAGGGCAAAAATATCTCCTGTGGGATGCATGAAGAGAGCGTCAGACCACCAGAGGATCAGATAAAAGCCTGCATCAAGCCTAGAGATAGCCGAGGGATTCTTCTCTTTCCCCTCGCCTCAGGTCAGAACCTAATTTAGCCTCTCTTCTACAGCTCCAAATACTGCTGGTACAGCCCAGAGGGAATAAATCCGGAGGTAAATTCTCAGATGTGGGGCCCTGTGGTGTAGAGACCTCGAGGAAAGGGTTGGATGGAAGAGGGGAGAAGGAAAAAGTCATTTTTTTTTGTATCTCCTGCCCTGCAAGCAGAGCAGGAGGAGAGCTGCAGCATGGTCGAGCTTTAGAAAGCAGCCCTGCAAGGCAGCTCAGCCTGAGGAAACAATGAACTTTCTCAAATTCATACTAACGTGCGCCCCTCAGTTATAAAAAAAAAAAAAAAATTAAACCAAAAAGTGGAGTTTTTCTTGCATCCCCCAGCTCGCCCATGAAGTACAAACGGCTATAGATTGCAGCCTGCGAGAGGGAAGAGCAACTGTGATGAGTAATGCTATATTTAACAACTGGCAAGTTGCCCAAATTCCAGATTTTTTTATTTATTTTTTTTTTCTGGGCTTTGGCTCTGCTTGACAGCGAGTTTGTGCTGGTGTAAAACGGCACTGACACCTCGTGGCTGCCGGCTTCAAGCACGGCACCCCAAAAACTGGGTGCAGGCGGGAGGGAAGGGCTGTTGGTCACCGTGTCCCAACAAGTAGGCG